GGTGGGACAGCTCGTCCGGCAAGCCCCAGAGCGGGGACAGGCGGGTGAGAGCTGCTGCCTCCAGCACAGCCCCTCCCGGCCCTGCTGCCTGGGGCTGGGTCAAGCTGGGCCGGGCAGGGCTGGCAGCTGCCCTTCACCAGACGCAGACCCTAATCCTGACAAGTGGGGGCTGAGGCTGGCAGAGGCCGCCCTGCTGGTAGTCCCATGCCCATGGCCTGCCCTCCCGCTGCACCCATGTGCCCACCACTCACGTTCAGCATGGACGCATCCCTCCGGAACTCCATGAGGTCCTCGCTGAGTTTGCTCTGGTTTTCATCTAGGACGTCTGAGGGCAAGAGCAGGGGTGTCACCAGGCTGGGAGCAGCAGCTGCACCTCTGCCCCAGGGGCCAGCCCTCACCAAACTTGAGCTCCAGGCTCTTCTCCAGCTGGTCGATCTTCTCCGACAGCTTGCCCAGCATGGAGCGCAGGAAGGCAATCTCCTGGTCCTTCTGCGCCAGCGCCACATGCATCTCGTGGAAGCGGTCGTCGGTCTGCTGCAGGAACTCCTTCAGTCCCTCGAAACGGCAGGCCTCCAGGTGCGCCTCGTAGGTGTCCTGGTTCCCGATGAACGTGCACCTGGGGGGCAGAAAAGCTGCCCACCAGCGGGACCCCTCTCCCTGCCTCTCTCTTGAACCCTCCATCTTCTGCCCACTCTAGATCCAGCCGCCCTCACCCTCACCTCCCTGCCTGCCCCACCCAGCAAGCAGGGATCCATCACCTCTGGCTCAGAGCTGCCACAGCAGATCCCACCCAGAGAGAAAGCCAAGCCCCTTGTTGCCGCCCCCCACCCTGCAAGGCTCCTGCCTCTCCTCCCACCCCAGCTCCCGTCTGCCCTCGCCCATGCTCCCCGAAAGCCCAGTTCTCCTCTGCTCCTGTGAGGCTCGGGTCTCCCAGTATCAGGACCTCAGTTATGGCCGTCAGCGTAGCTCCCCGGGGACCCTGTGCTCACCCGTACTTGGAGTGGGGACACTTGATATGCTCGCACTCCTTGAGGTGCGCCTCCAGGTCCATCTTCAGCAGCGGGGGGCAGCTGGGGTTGTTGGGGCAGCGCACGGGCCTGTAGTCACAGCCGCCCTCGTGGTCCCTGCGGAGCATCGGGGTTGAGCTGGGCCCCGTGGTACAGCCTCCAGGCAGGCCAGCATGGTAGCACCCCAGGGGGCTGGGGCCTGGGGATACTCACTTCCGGGCACTGAGCTTGATTGTGAAGGGGCAGCCCCGGGGGTCCACCTCGAAGGCGGTGGGCTTCCCCGCACCCACCGCACGGCAGCCGTGCCTGCAGTGGATGAAGAGCTCTCCGATCTGCTCTGCGACCGCGATGTTGTTCACCACCACTGTCAGCTTGGCATTGTCCACGGGACACTTCTCTGCAGGGTGAGGACACACTGAATCCAGCTTCCCTGGCCACCCCTGCCCAATGAAAAACCACATCCGGGGGTGGTAGGGAAAATGGCTGGCCTGGACATGCCCCCACCTGGGTGGGCATGAGCCTCTGCCGGGCACCTACCTACCTGCCCCTGGGGTACTTGGCACAGGAACGGGTGCCTGGCCAGGCCAGCAAGGACAGGCAGGTGGGGACAGAGGCCCCTCAGCCAGCCCTGGAGAAGGCTAGGGCAGGGCCATGAGACTGGGGCAGCCAAAAGGGCCAGGCTGGCCTCCCAGTGAGGCAGGCAGCGGCTGCTGGTGCAGGCCAGCTGTGGCCGGGGGCCGGGTCTGCTGGGGCCCCCACTGCCCCGCCTTGCCCAGCAGAGGCACAGGCTGGCATTCTCAGGAGGGGCCCACCCG